GAGGGCGGGTTTGTGCCAAGGCTGAGCAGTGCAAAGCCCTGTCCCACCCCCAGCCTGCAGCTCTGCTCCCCCGCCCATGGGGCAGCTTGTCCTGCTCAGCCTGGGGGCAGGAAAGGATCTCTGGCAGGTCCCTCATCTCCAAGGGCACCAGGGCACTCCCACCCTGCCCCTTCTGCTGCTGCCCCCACCCGATCCCATCCCCACACACCATCTTCAGTCACCTTTCATTTTTCATTCTCAAATTCACTCTCTCCTTCTCCCAGGGCTCCAACACTTTTTGGTTCACTTCACAATTTAAAAGTGAAATAAATAAAGCAAAGAATCCCCCCACCCTACACAGACTCTGTAAATAGTTCTTTGTAAGGAAGAGTAGGACACTCACCGATTTCTGCACTGTGCTCTCCTGAACAACAAACACAAACACACACCAGTTATTATGTGGCACAGTCCCTTCCCTGCGACCTCCACCCCAGCTGAAGGACCACACAGGTGAGGAAAGAATGAGATGGAAAGGGGAGATGCTCTGGTTTTGCTCTGATTGCAGGGACAGCTGACCTGTATTTAGTATCCCCATCATTTTCCCCCCTTCAGTGGCACCATTTTAGCAGAAGGTTCTGTTTAATAGCCAAAGGACTATTTATTGGCAATTCTACAAGCAACAAACAAGCAAACAAAAATACAGGACCTCTTCAAGCAAGTTTGGTTTTTGAAAAATTCTTAGGAATCAAGGAATCTACATTTTTAGGAGCAATTTCCCAATAGCTCGGGTTTCTGTAATTTGCCCCTAAATTACAATAGGTGTTCAGCACTTTTTCACTTCTTAAATTAAAAGGAATCTCAAAAAGCATCAACAGCCACACAGGGGAAAAGTCCTTAGGATTTTTCAAGGTGAATTTTCACCTGATGATGGGGTCAGGGGAGGAGGAAGGAAAATATCTGCCCAGAAAGAACATTTGGACAGACTGAGAGAAGGAACGAAAAGGCCTGGAAGTTTTCACAGAGGATTTCATCCAGGAGAAGGGCAGTGAGACTTACGCAGAGCTGCCTCTTGCCTCCCTGGAAAACAAAAGCAGATCAGAGCGTCACCCCCAAAGTTGGTGCCATTTCCCTGATCCACTTCTTGGGGTAGGGAGGAGGCTGAAATTGCTCATGAGGGAAAAGCTGCAGCCCAGGAGCTCCTCAGGACCTGTCTTCCCAAGACTTTGGGTGTCTCACCCACCCTCCCTGAGCCCGCTGTGGGCAGAGATCAGCACCGTGCTGCTGGAGACCTGAGCACGGGCTCCA